CTTTTTCACGTTATCCGACTATCTTGGAACAAGCACCACAGGGTGATTGCTTCGGCATTGTGAATAATCCGAGGAGAAGATGGCGACCAGTTGTTGGAGAAAATGGCGATTGCAAGCGGTGATAATACGAGTATTTATGGTCGAAAAATTCAGTATCAGAAATTCAACTGAATGCTATCTAAATTTCCATGAAATAATTCCAATTAACGAAAAAACCCAAAACGATTTTGTCAATTCAGCCAAAACTAACTGACTGGGGGCCGCTATCCGCCAGTGTTCTAGTAATATGTGTCTTCCGCCTAGTTTGAAGCAGAAATTTCATAACCCTTGGACCGCACCCTTTGTAGCTTGCTGATCACTTCAAGTCAGCCTAAGATGTATGTACGCAGATAGGTACATTTTCAGCGTTTTACGTTACAAACTGTAAATGTGCTAAACGCGTACCATCAAAAAGGTTAACGTTTACACATGGGGACAAGCGAGAAGATTACAGTTTCATAAATCGATCGAGCAACGGTCGCATAGTACTGACCCAAAACATGGGGATTTGCATCCATTCAAAAGGGGAGTGTTTCATTAAGACACTTTTACGAGTGGTTTCAATTGACTTAAGGTTTTGTGTCCATAGGCAAAATATCGTGGATCATGTGCGATATCACATCAGTTATATGCAAAAGTGGATAGAGTAAAGTGGTCTCAGTGACCTTGAAGTTAATTGAACAATATCTCTGTCAGCCTATTCCTACTAAACTGATATATCTGCAATAGACAATGTGATGAATGATGCTTGGGAAACAAAGCAACGACTGATGTAAATGCGCTGGCTGGAGAGAGAACCAGCTGCAACGTCATTTTACTTATATAGCGACACTGCTCCTGGTGGTGACCTCCTGCTTCAGATCTATTGTGCTCATGTGACTGGGAGATACCATAGACAAAAATGATTCTGGCTACGACTTCTGGGCGGAATTCTTTTCGGTTCATCTTTACTCTCGACCCATGAAAAGTCTGGAAGGACACGGATCAAACAATATCCGTTCTGGAGAAAAACTGTCGAAAGTAAGACTGCTGCCACCTCATCGACAGAGTTTAGCATATCCCCAAGCAGGTTGGCTTCACCATAGATTGCTTAGTATTCCGGTGACGGGTGACACTAGTCAGGTTGGCCGAAATAAGGTTAGTAAATGGAGGGGTATTAAGTCTGATTAAATTTTAAACCACATTCATATGTAACAAAAACCGCAATTGACCACCAACACTGCTTTTATTACCTTGCCGATAACACCCTTAGGTTGTGATTCATGTTCGTGTGTATATGCCGCCTATTTGCAGATATATAACCCAAATCAAGACAGAAACAGTACACTCTTACCGTCGTTCTGAGACCTACTAGAAGGCAGTTATGAGGTATTTAAATAAACAAATCAATAAATAAATTGTATATTCCTCGGCGATGTGAGAAGCTGTTCCCTAAAAGGAACAGATCAAATAATGGACAACCTTTCCATGACATCGCATTAATACATTTTCAGAAATAAACATGGATACAATTGCAGATTAGGTAACACAGAGTAATCAGAATCGTTCTGCTATTTTTTCCTGCAGTTGAATCAGGATTCTTCACAATCCCATGACAGATGTTTGGGCCGAGAAAAAAGTGTAACAAAAAGGGCTGTTGTCCGAAATGTTGTGTGTGTGTTTCATAAATTTATTCAGGCACATGGATACCGTTTTCGAATGCGTTATCTAGGGTCTGTGAGGTCCCGAACATCTTAATCAGGTTTTGGACAGTTAAATGTTTACTAATCGCAAGCTTAAAATTGCAAAATGTATAGCATGTTCTGATATCACTTGGTAGTTTGTCCCAAATCTTTGAGTATTGGGTTAGAAAGAAACGTTCTATGATTCTCGTAATAAATATTGCAATCATGACCTTTACCTTTTTGTTATTTATTGGATATCTACTGTTTAAAGATAGGTGAACACCGTTTTCTAGACTGCAGATTTGACAATTTATGATTCTGTAAAGAAAACATACTTTCAGCTTCATTATCCGAAGCCAAACTGGGTCAAATCCAAGTTTAGTACATCGCTCTCTCTATGTCAAGTTTGAGGAATATCCACATCGCTTTTTCGTGAAGCGTCTCTGGACCCTCTCAAGAGCGCGCTGTCAGACTTTTGCAGATTAGACTGTACCATTAAACAGTATTACATACACGGCAATATGTATGCTTTGTAAAGCGATCTGCGAGATTCCGCGAGGTAAAAATGACAGATAAAACCGATGGTCTTCATGGCTTTCGAAACTTAAAAGTCACAGTGTTCAGAAGTTAAACGTGACTGAATATCGCACGCCCAAGTCGCGAACTGCCCTGCATTGATCGCAAGCTCCATCCAAATCGTTAGCTAACAAATGCGGATATGTCATGATAATGCGAACTGATAGACTGAATTAGAAATTCCAGTCGCCAAGTGATGCAAGACCTTGAGTTCACAAAGCCAGTTTGTGAGTTATTTATAATGTTACGAAATAGTGAGTATTTGATTGTAGTGAACAGGATATGACGTGCCACCATCTTTGACAAGAGTGACTTGTAGCTAATCAAGCGATACGTTTACTACGAATAATGGAACAATGGAACAATGGAACAATGGTTTATTACGGGTAAAAAAGCGTTGCTTAACAAGTCACGTAGGATGGAAATTAGTGTGAAAATCAATTGCATGATAAAGTGAACAGCGTTGTGGTGGATTCACCATAGACTTATGTAGAATAGCGGAGATGTTCGCGTATTAAACATATAAATCCATAAATCCATTGGTTAGGCGTTTGGCAAGACACCGTTTGATTGCGTTTTGTAGCCCCTGGCTATCAAGTCATAAAATGAAATGTAAGTGAGACAATGCATCGTCAACATTTTTTTAAATATCTCCAGATTGGGAGCAGAGACAACATAATTAGAGAGGGCGTTCCAAAGTTGACTCACACGGAGGGAAAAGAAATTTCTACGGCATTCAAGCCGACTATACTGAATTGTCAGTTACAGAGGGTGACCTCTTAGTTTAGTGTTGTGGTTCAATTCCAGCAGTGACGACAAATGTGGTTTGGGTTCTTCAGAATCTGGTAAACCATTATGAGATCCCCCCGCAAAAGTCGATATCGACTGCTGTGCATTCTTAGAGATTTCAGTCTAAGCTGATAGGACAGATGAAAGAGGCCCCTGACATTCTTGGTTGCCCGTCGTTGACGAGTCTCGAGAGCAACGAGATCCTGTTTCTGCCACGGCTGCCACCCCTTAATAGCATATTCCACGTGAGGACGCACGTAGGCGTTAAGCATTTGGGGAAAGATTGAGGGTTCAAACCGACCGAAGGCTCTGCGAAGAAGGCCGAAGTGTTGATTGCCGGTTTTCGTCGCCTTCTCTGCTTGTTTTGAACACCCGAGATCTTCCTGTACCAATACACCCAGGTCACGCTCCTGAGAAACCTTCGCCAAAGTGTGGTCTCCAATCTTGTAAGCGCTCACCGGCTGGTGACGCAGATGCATCACTTTGCACTTAGCCATGTTCAATTGAAGCTTGTTCCTTTTTGACCATTCGTAAATGCAATCTAGGTCATGTTGGAGCAGATCCTGATCTGGCTTGTTACTAATCGCCTGCCATACCTTGACATCATCGGTGAAAAGCAGGAAATTTGAGGAGATGACCCTTGCCAAATCGTTGATAAACACCAGGAATAAACGCGGTCACAGCACTGAGCCTTGTGGGACACCACATTCCACCTCAATTGGGTTAGAAAGTGATCCCCTAACACGTACTTGAAGCTTTCGTTGGTAAAGGAAGTTGCCAATCCAACCAAGTACAGGATCTCCGATTCCGTAACTTCGTAGTCTTTGAAGTAGGATGCGGTGATCAAGGCGGTCGAAAGCTTTGGAGAAGTCCAGATAGATGACATCGACTCCGACCCCATCATCGGCCACTTCCGTCCAACTACCTCGTGCAATAAGTAGGTTGGTGGTGCATGACCGGTGTTGACGGAAGCCATGCTGTTCCGGTACCAAAATGTTGCATTTTTCCAGGTAGTCCATTAAAGCCTCAGCGACGACTGCTTCCATCACCTTCTGGAGCACAGGGAGGAGAGTCACTTGACGATAGTTTGTAGGATCGGAAATGCTACCGCCTTTAAAATTAGGGGCTATAATGCGACATGGCATCACAATGGCTTCCTTCCACTTGATGGTGTTCAAGCTTAATACGATGACGAGACACTACATCGCATTAAATCTACGGTCAGGAATAATTTGTTTGAAATCACAGGTCTACGCTACTATCACATGACAGTGTTTAAGTCACAAATACTACACAACAAATTTGTTCAGTTGGATGAGAATCATAGTCTAAGTGCGAATGGAAGCGTAGGAAGTTTGCTCCTACGCTTATATAAACCAGAAAGTACGTAGCTAAAAAAAATAAGAAAATTTGGTAAGCGACAGCAAAATCTGGCTTATACGATGGCCTATGGTAGGCTCCTACATCAGTATCGGAGTTAATACGTCATAACATTTTACCAATTCTACTGGTCAGCAGGCATAACCATCAGGTCAACTAGGCTTCGAACTTGCATACCCTAACGACGAGGTCACCGTAGGGTGTGACCTAGGCAAAGGTTACAGCAGGATATGTTTCTATCTCCAAATAATCGGAGCAATCAACTTGATTGCAGAATTTCAATGTGAGAACGAAAAACCACGTTATTACTTTCAGATGTGACCGCATTTTTGTTAACATGTCCGTTTAAGCGTGCTTATGCACATGTGTTCTCTTGACCAAGTTCAACGCAATCATCGATAAGCCCCGGTTAAATGTTTTGGCTCACGCATAACATGAGATCAACAATGGCGGCCTCATTGATCGGTGACGCAGCGCGTGTCAATGAGCTGTTATCATGGATGAGCCAATTGATATATAATCATAGTCATCTGGCTCTTCGACTCCTATATGTTTTAGAGGCACCTTAGGTAAGTGATCATATGCTGTAAACATCATCATCTTACCAGGATACTATTCTCTTCAGGACTTTATACAAAATGCGCTGCGTTGCATTCTGGATTGCTTTATTGGGGTGCTGTACGTTTGGAACTGAGGCATTGACTACCTCAACAGTTGAAATCAGTGAGTTTCACTTCGCATCATTTATCAACTTTGTTTCGGATGTTAACAATTGGTTGGATCGTTGAACTCACTTTTCCTCCTATCCACTGACCATAATCGAATCGAATAAAGGCTAGGCGTAGGAGATTTATGTATGCTTTTAATCGTCATCCTGTTTAGCAATAATTACAACTTTCTTTATCTTTGTCCTGGATGAAAGTTTGGCATCTTTCAAAGCGTACTAGCTTTTAAAGTTCCAACACTTGAAACTACATGTTTGTCTCATGTGTATGTACTAAGAAACTGATATCGATGCAAGGGCCAAAGGCTTGAGCTCAGCTGGAATGCTCAGAACTTTCTTTACAACATTTGCAGACTGTTTTATCTAGGCCTTAAGAAACCTAAGGCAGCGAGAAAAATGGGCGATTTCAGATATTTCACTTATGCCAGTTTTCGTAGCCAGTGCTTGACTGTTGTGGAGATAGGTAGGTTGGCTAGTCCACGACAGCTGATGCGAACCTGCAAACGTGAGAGTTCGCTCTTTAGTACGTACAATACGGAACAAATCTCATTCCTTCCTTTTAAACAAGTAGTATTTTGCCCTTTCCCATGAATTAAGTAACGTACAAACTTTTCCAGACACTTACAGTGCGATCCGACAAATTGTTCTAACTTCACGGGTTGCACCGTAGTTGTTGTAACACACGGCACTAGTGCACCGTATTCTCAAGTACTCTATCAAGTCTAAATGAATCAGGTAGTCCCTCACAGCAACGTTACCTTAATGGCAGATTAGTGCTTAGTGAGGCACATATTGCGACAACTGAGAAGTAGTGTGAGGTAACAACTTCACTTGAAAGTTTTCCGACGTCGTGTTGCACCGTTAATTCACTATTAGCTGTGATAATTAGGCTGTATCCGATTACAATCTCTGACTTCGGCACCCAGATCGCTTACACTTGTTTATATTCGCCAAACTGAGCTGCTTTGTTTGAAGCCGCGATTTGTTATCCGAAACCATCTTAGCATAGCAGGTTCCTTTACCATTAAGTTGACTCCACACTCGCCGTTTTGTGAGTATCTGCTAATATAGGTGGTGCAAATTCGAGTCACAAGGAAGTCATCACCTTGCCATTTATCTAATATAACTCATTCATGTTCGCTTACAGCCTCCACCACAGTATCACCTTCGGATGGCTCCACTGAGGCGAATACCGCTTCCACCAGTGAAACTTTGATTACACCATCGGCGGCACTTATGTCTGCGGAAACTGAAGCTGCAGGAACTGCCGCTACAGTCGGATCCACGACTGTTGAAGAGTCCGACGCGACCACAGCGGCCGGCGAAACCACTGCGGAGGGTGCTGTCACGGCTGTTGATGTGTCCACTGAGGCCGGTCAAACGACGGCCGCCGGCTCAGATACCACAACTGCCTCTGTCACAGAAGCAAGTCAGGTCATGTCAACCACTTCTGAAAGCATCATGACCTTAGTATCTCAACCTGATGACGACGATGATGATGATGACGATGAGGACTGAGGTTTCTAACTTCCACGATGAAGCGTGATTAGTGAACATTTTCTATCGCCTATTGTAACAGCTAATTCCAAGAGTAAATATATCATTGTTATTAATCCCAATAGCTGAAAACCTTTTACATGTGTATTGGCTACACTACTCATATGCTTGACAACAGTGGGTCATTTTATGCACAGCAAGTGAATTTGTTCCCTTGTTTTGCGTTCGGTAGCCTGGATGGATACTGGCGTGTTGAACCCGCTACAAACCAGAGTAGCACTAAAATTGTCCGACCTCTCGAATTGCTCGCACCAACCTAATGCCGTAACCGAGTGTCATGTTCGTAGATGCTCACGTGATCCCTACTGAAGAACATGAGTCAGCTAGGGCCAAAAGTTGGCGATTTACTTTAGGCAATATTAGACGCTACATGTTAGTGGGTAGATACATCGTAGCGAACATTTCATTGCCTGGTCACTTGTGGATCGTTTTGCCAAACCTCACATGTACTGTCCCCTGTCCCAATACCATGTCTTCAAAAGTACGCACCCTATTGATCGTGCGACTTTGGAACACCCGCCGTGTGTCTTGGATTTCGACACGAAATCTCTATTATGGCCTTATTTGACTTAGAAGTCAACGTGCCGGCGTAGTTCAACGGCTTAATGATCATGGCGATAGCCGCCAACAACTGTGTGCCAAGTTCCAATTCCAGCCCAGGCTATCTACCTAAGGAGTGCAAACAACACCGGAATTCTCCACTTCGGGTACGGTCTCCTTGATTAGAAGGGTAAATGCTGACTTCGACGTCAACCGAGGTCACAGTTGAGCTTATGTGTCACACTACAAGACATTGTAGGAGCTCCAGAACCTGCAAGTCATTTGGCTACCAATGTGTCCAGCGCTGCTCGCGAAGTTAAATGGCGAAATGTTTTGTGCCAAGCTCTACTTCTTGCTGACGCTATCTCTAACTGATGAGTTCAGATAAGGACGAAATGTGTCGTGGAGTACTGTTATGGTGGAAACCCTACACACCCTATTCCCTTTGTGCATGCATCTCTGCCCCCGCCGAGTTCACCTTCATTCGACGCAGTTATAAGTACTCCCACGAAACTACAAAAGGGGACACGTACATGTCTAACGCATCTACTTGCGTTCACGTGCTGAGTCGGGTTATTTGAGTGTGGCCTTGTCCCGCACGTTGCACTGACCCCAGCAAACCAAGTGAGTCGTCCTGTACCCACGTTGTGTCGACACATTAACCCAACAAACACCGTTTCCACCTTTGTCCTCATAGCCGTTCGTGGTGCCCCGTGTGCTGAGGCCCTACGAATGGTAGAGTTACTCATTGATTGTGATTGCGCATAGTCTTAGCTAATCGTTATTCAGTTGTTACACGCTTGCCCTCTGCGATGCTATTTTGGTTTTGTCTGTTCGGATATCGTTTACGTTTGTAGTTTTAATTAGTAGCTATTAGCGTGGATAAACTCACGCCTTGTTTAGTTTATTTTTTCCTGTGCTCTGCACCTAGCTCAACCTCATTGAAAGAATTTTTCCTTGAGTAGGACTAAGTATAAGTGGTGCTGACGCCTGGATACTGAACGATCGCGATTACCTATGCTGGCCCTAACCAAAGCTCTTTGAAAGCAGGGTGTCACTGAAAAGGATAGGCGAGACTTCACAGCTGCTTAGAGTGCGCTCAGAGATCCTGTATCCATCTTTTTAGCAACTAGTGCATGTGCCACGAATGTGGCCATTGCTGCAGTTACAACAACATTCGGAACATAGGTCTATATCACATTTGGTTAGTAGTTTCGATGTTTAATCCCTGAACATATGACTGATCTCAGTGTGTGCAGAGGATTTCAGGAAAACCGTGATACAAAAGCCATGTAACTTGGCCAGTTTTAACCACAACCATTAAACGACATGCTACTAAACTACGGATGCTGCAGGAAAGACAGTAAACATCGTTTCGGTTAATCGTAGTCCAGCTAATCTTGTGTTCTTTAAAAGGAAAAATTCGCAACAACTCGTTTACACACCAAATGGTCTGCTTCTCGGCTCTCTGAGCTAAGATCATGTGTAGTATCTGTTCAGTGCAAAGTGATGCATCTGCGTCACCAGCCGGTGAGCGCTTACAAGACTGGAGACCACACCTTGGAGAAAGTCTCTCAGGAGCGTGACCTGGGTGTATTGGTGCAGGAAGATCTCGGGTGTTCAAAACAAGCAGAGAAGGCGACGAGAACCGGCAATCAACACTTCGGCCTTCTTCGCAGAGCCTTCGGTCGGTTTGAACCCTCAATCTTTCCCCAAATGCTTAACGCCTACGTGCGACCTCACGTGGCAGCCGTGGCAGAAACAGGATCTCGTTGCTCTCGAGACTCGTCAACGACGGGCAACCAAGAATGTCAGGGGCCTCTTTCATCTCCCCTATCAGCTTAGACTGAAATCTCTAAGAATTTACAGCAGTCGATATCGACTTTTGCGGGGGGATCTCATAATGGTTTACCAGATTCTGAAGAACCCAAACCACATTTGTCGTCTACTGCTGGAATTGAACCACAACACTAAACTAAGAGGTCACCCTCTGAAACTGACAATTCAGTATAGTCGGCTTGAATGCCGCAAAAATTTCTTTTCTCTCCGCGTGTGCCAGCCTTGGAACGCCCTCCCTAATTATGTCGTCTCTGCTCCCAATCTGGCAATATTTAAAAAACGTGTTGACGATGCATTGTCTCACTTACATTACATTTTATGACTTGTTAGCCAGAGGCTACAAAACGCAATCAAACGATGTCTTGCCAAACGCCTAACCAATGGATTTATAGATTTATATGTTTAATACGCGAACATCTCCGCTATTCCGCATAAGTCTATGGTGAGTCCACCACAACGCTTTTCCTTTTATCATGCAACTGATTTTCACAATAATTTTCCATCCTACGGGACTTGTTAAGCAACGCTTTTTTACCCGTAATAAACCATTGTTCCATTGTTCCATTGTTCTTAAGGAGGTTTCATTCTCAATTAAACCTCGTAGGTAGATGACGCTTGGCTCCCCATGTTCTCAATGTCACACACCTCTTTTCCAGTTAAATGGAGTATAAAATAAATCAATTACCATTCTTTTGCACTACTCTGCGCATTTGATTAAACCATATTGGTCGGGCACTTATTTAAATTGCTTGGTTCCTTTCAGTAATTTGAAGTACACTGTTAGAAGGCAAACTATGGCATTCTCAGTATACATTATCATGAATTCTTTCGGCGCCGAACAAACAGCTTATACGCCCGAATCACATAAGTAATAAGTAAATCGGAGGTGTAGGGTGGTTTCAGTAAACAAGGAACCCACATCTAAAGATCATGACATGGACAGGTAGATCAAATTTTATCTGGATCAATGATAAGTTGAAAGTGATGGGACGTACACAACATTGCCAGAGTGTAACTGAACGGTCAGACACTTTTGTGTGCTATTGGCCATAAATAAATCGGAGGAATATTGCTGTCACTCAGCTCCAAACGAATATAACTGTCCTCAGTTAACACGCCTTGGCTCAGAACTATTCTAGGTGATTAACTATGCGGATTTCTACATCTACTATGTCGCCCACGTTCATGAATCCTTTAAGCCTAGCCGCATAAATCGCCCGTGTTCTGATTACCATTTGTCTTGCACACATTGATCACTCCAGAGTCAGTGCTTGGCTTCAATATGAGTAGTTCTTGTCCCGTAGTTTACATAGCGCTTTGACATGTCTGCCTGTGTAAGGACTCATATTTCATTCATTGGCAATTTTAACCCAGCCGGTGATGTTGTTGTTTAACACAACAGGCTTGCCCGGACTGTTGTCTGAAACTCGTTAAACTGATTAAAAACCTCATGAATTGTGGTTCTATAAAAAATCCGTCCGAAATCCTATTACGTGCTTTGTCGGCGGTGAATATTCTAACAAGGGGTTTTGTACTCAATATCACAACGCATCCAATTAGAAGAAAGTGAAGGGGGTGTCCAATACTTTGTTAAGGTTCCTCCCATACAGACTTAACTAAACGGCCAGTACATAACTGGAAAAGCGCTTTCCACAAACATGGTAGATAGCTGATAGAATCTGGCCTCGACGAATCTTCGCAACGCGTCAGGTTGTCCTCCCGACTGATACACCAAGTAATCACTGGGACCATGGGTACTCGCTTTTTCGCCCTGGTTGCTTGCTACGGTTGATCATCACTGCATCTGCAGCATAGCTTCTCTCTGGTGGGAACACTGCGTGAGCAATGAGCGTGTTCAGCGTCGCGCATTTGGTGCAGGAAGAGCTACTGAACCGCTCGGCACTATGATACCACTCACCAGGCTCCGGTAGCTGGGCCAAGTGTTGCGCATGTCAGCACACCGACTCCCGCGACATGCATTGTTTGCGCGCCGGGGATGCGGTTGGAAGAAGAAGTGGGGAGGTCAAGCGATGACTTGGTCGAGAGAAATGGAACCCCTTCCTTCGAACTTGGTGCCGGTTGGCGCATCCCAACTGCCTGGTTGGGGTCCCAAGGACGATAAACACGTTTGGTTAGACATACTTGCTGATATGGCGAAGAGTCGGCCCCAATGACTATTGTGTCGTGAGTTTCTTTGTCTACCCCCTCCATTTTAAAGTCTCCTCCAAGCCCGATCTCATCGGAAATGTGAAATATACTATTTAACCTTATATAACTTACTTTTGAAATTTTATAGTATACTTTTGTATGTTAACTATTTGTATTGCGGCACATTAGCTAAGGTGTGTTTCTCTCCCTCAACTGAAGTGTATTGATGATGATGATGTTGTTGTTGTTGTTGTTGTTGTTGCTGCTGCTGCTGCTGCTGCTGCTGCTGCTGCTGCTGCTGCTGATTTTGGTTTCCTAGACCCGTATTTTAACCCTACCTTCCGGGATCATAATATGTTTACAATAGTTGGCGGAAATATTCGGACGTAACAAGGTCAGGTCCAAGACCAGAGACGACAAGGAAGAATAGGTCACCATCAAACACTCGAGTTTAGTTTAAGCCATCTCCACTTCAATGTATGCTGCGCTTTAGAGGTTAACTTTAGCAGATTAGTTTTTGCTTTTACAAAATAATATGAGAACCGAACCGGGATAGCGACGGATTGGAAAATCTATCGACGGGATGTTTCCACGTGTGTAGGTTTGGTTTTTAGCCTGAGGTAAACTATATAGCAAAGTAACTTGACCGTTTCGGCGGAAGTTCATCATTTAAGAAACTTGAAGCAGGTTAACCCTTTCAACCTTTTGTAGAACTCTGATTACTGCTAAGCGAGCACCAGTAACAGCCTACACTACCTTTTCCGCCA